TTTTCTTACTGGTCTATCATCTGATTTTGGTTACTTGTAAGCGATAGTAAGATGGCTTGCCTAGTATAATGCTCAAAGCAGGAGTGATCATAGGCGACCTCTCCGAACTAGGCTTATGACTTAGGACTAGTTTTCCATTCCTTCTTTTTCCTTTTCCTGCTCTAAGATGTTCCCAGCTTTATAAAGGTGAGCAAGATCCAATCATCTGAGCTGTTTATCTCGCTGGGGTGGAATGCTAAGAACCTCTGATAGCCAATGCTTTCTACTGGCAACGCTTTGACCATCTCTCAGTAAACTTTAACTTTGTCGAGAACATTTGCAGGGAGTCTCGTGCCTTCCACCAGTGATTACTTGAGAAGCTGAGTTTGACCGCGCTTTCTCGCATATCCCATTATTCTTTGAATTTTATAATGGAGAAAGGTACCCTAGGTAAATTGACTGCTCAGGTAGAGCCAAGGGAACGAAGCGACCGTTGAGATCAACCCCACCTCGGCAGCTAAAGTCTTGAGAGGAACTCTTCGAAAGAACCGTGCTTGCAGAAAAATACAGAGTGGTGATGAAAAAAAATGCTGTCAGTTTAGAAAATTACCCGATCAGGTAGCATGGTTACGTGAACCTTTGAGGGTTGTCTGAAAACTCGTTTTACATCAGTCATAAGACTAGATTTCGCTTTCCGTGGTACCAAAAGGTCCATACTTGCGTTGAGTGAATTAGGACATACCTGCGATGTGTCGTCAACCTTTGGGTTCAATGGCTCTCGATCAAGTTCAGCCTGAAACGATAGCTGTGAGACTGTGGATGCGATTCCTTGCCGCTGGTTGAGAGATGCCGAGTTATAAAGCTGAGAAGTAGGGGATGACTGGTGAGACTAGATTTTGGGCAATTAAGGGGTACAGCGGCAGATTTTGAGTTCTGTTGTGACCAAAACGACGAAGGTGATGCTTAGGAGAGTGATGTTGGGACTACCAAGAATGTGACATCAGCTGTGATATGTTTCTACTGGTCTTTGAAGGAAACTGAATATAGCGAACGTGTTAGGTCACAGATGTCTAACCGGTAAAAGACTTACAGCGAGTGCTGCACTCAGAAGTAGTAAAGCCGTACACCGCATTCTACATCGAGTCTGCGAAGTGGTCAACTGGACTGGTGTAGCTCTTTTATAGCTGGGTTTATCTCACTGAGAGATTTTTCAATGTAAACAACCAGACTGTTTCAATGTTTGAAGCTCTCACTAGGGTTATTAGAGCCTACTTTTATCGTTGCTGAGGAATGTTTGAGAAGTACATTTGTCTACATAGTGTCTAGCGAAAATAAAGTATTCGATATGGATTCTTTTGAAGGGATGCAATCCTTCCATTTAGAGTTTTAGCTTTTTACGTATACTTCGCTTTTCTGGTTGACAGAATTTTCTGAGATACGAAAGGGGAGCAATTATTGGTATCTCTAATTTTTCAGGGCATCTTGATGATAATTGTCGTCAGCACTCAACTACGTATGGGTGGCCAATGAACATGAGGTGCTTCTATACATATGTACGTATATATGTCGCCAAGGTTGGTTGCGAGCTCAGTTGTGGCTGCACTTACTTCTTAGAATTTCAGAAATGGTGGGGTACAATCATAAAGTTCACAATGCCTTTGTTTGCAATTGACCGAAGGTCCTGAAGATCAAACCTTCATGATCTGATCTCCGATAAATCAGTGAGAACTCGACATTGAACAGGCACTGCTTCCATCTTCCCATGGTGACTCCGTTAGTACAGAATACCTCTTCTATAATCTTATATAATATTCCGGCTCTTAAATTGATTTTAGAGCTCAATTTTGTCCGATGAGGCTGCGTATTTAGAGCTCAATTTTGTCCGATGAGGCTGCGTACTTTTTTGTTCCTACATCAGCCATTTTTAATCCTTTCAAACCAGTCATGATAAATATGATCACCACATCGAGTCAACAAGTGCTGTAGGTCAGTCGTTTTTCTACGTTTAGTAAATCTAGTCGAGAACTTTTTGTGATCAATCCAATTATTTATTGCATTTTCCGGAAACATCATCACTATTAAATTTCTCTCCTTATTTCGATGTTTTCGTTTACTTCTTGAATTCCTTTTAGGAATAGATGGATTGGTAAACAGATAAGGGCGTTATGTTTTGATTTAATTCATTCCGAACTCTAGGAATCGAAAAAAACCATGGGCTTCAAATTATTCTTTGTTCAGTAGGTTGAACCGTAATGTACTCCGCCTTACAATTAGAAGTGGTGGGTATGTTGAGCACAGACTAGCGCTCGCATCTTTTGCGAAAAGATCGGGCCTGTTAAGCTGCTCTTTCTAGGGAAGAGTGAATTAAGGTAGCAAAATAGGAAAAATTAGCTCAAAACAATAAGTAGTATTGCTGAAAGCAGCTTAGCAGCTCATTTACCGATCCAAGTACGCCAGTACTTAGCCTCTCTTTCATTTAACTCAGCTTCGATAGAGGGTTATCTTGTCTGTCATGCTGATGCGAATGATGGTCAAGAAGTCTTTCAAAAAGAAAACATCTTTGAGCATATTTTTATGATTGGATATGAAATTATTTTTTTCCTATTTTCTATCTTTTCATTTTGGAAAATTGTAACAGTTCTACAAGTTTCCAAATTTTCGTTTAGGACTTGTGAATTTCATCAACGAATGGATCGGCGATGTCTCACCAAGGTTCTAACTGTGAGCAAGACTAGTTTGATTTATCTAGTAAATCGGGCATCAGTTACTGTTCCATACCGTTTTGTTTGGTTCTTTGTCATACTCTTTCTCTCATAAGTCAAGTGAGAGAATGAAAAAGGATGAGAAGAACGAGATCGAAATAATTCGGTGAGGACCTTTTGATACTTTCTTCAGCAGTTTGTTCAACATCTAAGTTGATTATTTGATCTCGTTTCCAATGCAACTGAAAAAATCAGAATCGAAATCAGGTTCACGATAGAGCATTTTCTTTTTGGCATTTTCTTATTCTGAGGGCCACTTCAGGGCAGCTGCAGTGAAGCTCCTGAACAGGCGTAAAGTCGATGTGTATAATTGATGAATTGTTAGGGTTGATCTTTTCTAAGCCTACAGAAATCACACGACACCTGCTTTAAAATGTCTCTGTCTGTTGCAGATGCATACGCCTATCTTTCTCAAAAGGACTGGCCACTTTTTGATTGGAGGAGGGGGGGCTGGGGGAGGTTGCTACAGAAGCTGATCACTTCTTGATGAAAACGGGTATACACTAATCATGTCTGACTGTTCGAACCCCACAAAAGTATTGTGCAAAAGACTCGACTGAAGCCTAACTTGAAAATTTCGTCAAGGGCCGTACGCACTGATTGTAATCGGTATCATCTAAATGGTTACTCTGGTGACTATCATGAAACTGTATAGTAAGTGTAACAGGGTCTAAGAAAGTACTCGAGAACTTCCGAGGATTGAATTTTAAAACATTGTTTTATATTTAGATTTTTACAAATTCTATGTTTTCAGGTTTTCAGAAAGAATCGGATTGCAATCATGATAATATCACTTACCCTATTGCTTATTCTCAACTATGCCACCCATGCCAGTCGTACTCCAGATCGAACTGCGGAAAAATTTCGAACGAAACAGAAAATGCCGGCGTAAGTTTACATTACTTCTGTATTACAATAGTACATAGCATCTGATCATCGTGTCATCTTCGTTCTTTATTATTCTGGGATGGTATCAATTAAAAATTCAGCCATCCATTACCTGAGCCCGTGTCTGATAAATGGATTGTTGTCACTTCTATAAGGTACCCCTCAGAAGACGTGAAGGTCCGTTTAGATCTTTTTAAAGATTTCCTCACCATTAACTGTTTTCGGACTCGGAAATTTATCAATGTGAATATGTACATCTAATTGTAAGTATAGTACCCGATGACTTTATACCGACGAGGTGTTTCTGATTGATCAGTTTCTCCTGAAATGATTGATTTTGGAAGCATGAGCTTCGAAAGGGAAAGTTGCTTTGTTCAAGAGATTGGCATCTCTCGATGGATGGAATCTTGTCGTTGTGGCTGATGTGAAGACACCAGAGGATTGGCATCTGGATGCACCTGGTGTTCACTTCCTTAGCCTAGACGTGCAAACTAAATTGGGTGAATTTTACCGCCAATCCTTAGATAACTAACGAATTTGTCTATATCTCTTCAAAAAAGGTCAGGTGCAATTCTGTTTAGGGTTCCGAATAACAACCCTATTACCGGAAAACTCGTACATGAGGAAAAATGTCGGCTATTTATAC